TCTCTCTCTCTCTCTCAAATAAATAAACATTAAAAAAAATTAAATTTAAAATTAAAATGCTATCCTTCTGAATTAATTTCTAGATAGTATCTAATAAAATTATGAAAAGCACAAAAACTTAATATAGTCTTTATTTTTCAGTGGTTCCAAACTTGGTATCTGGGGTCCTATCACTTAAGTTTAATTACTGAAGCATCAAAAGGACATCATTGTAATTCCTTAGCAAAGACTCTAGAGGCAGTGTAAAGCAAGGCTTCAATGTTAAATCATACAGAGTGCCATCACAAAGTTTATTTTACATAAGTGAGTGACATGAGAACACCACAATAAGAAAAAACAATGGAAAGAAAGGACTGGGGAAAAAATAGCCAGTCACACATAATTAAAGCAAGAAAGGGACGCCTGCCAGGCTCAGTCAGAAGAGCATGTGATTCTTGATCTTGGAGTCATAAGTTCAAGCCCCACATAGGTGTAGAGATTACTTAAAAATAAAATCTTTAAGGGGCACCTGGGCAGCTCAGTCAGTGAGGCATCTGACTCGACTTCGGCTCAGGTCATGGTTTCAGTTCTGAGACTGAGCCCCACGTTGGCATCCATGCCCAGCACGGAGCCTGCTTAAGGTTCGTTTTCTCCCTCCTTCTCTCTCTCTCTGTCTCCTCCCTCTCTCCCCCCCACCCTGCCCCTTTCCCACCCAAGTGCACTCTCTCAAAAAAATTTTTTTGTTTTATTTAAAAAATTAATAAAATCTTCAAAAAGAAGTAAAAAAAATCAGGAAAGTTCTGACAGTGTATCATGTATTAAGGATACCTTATACTAGACTCTAGACCTTACTTTTACATTATCAACTGATGAAGCTTCTCAACTAAAATACTAGCCCCATTTTACTGATTACCTACTACTGAGCACTTTACGTACACAGGCATCCTACTGAGCACTTTATGTACACAGTATGTTTCACTAAAACTATTCTAGAAACACTTTATTATCCATTTTATAGATAAAAAACTGTAACTTTCCTAACTTCGTACAACAATTAAGTAGCAAAGCTGGGATCTGAATCTAAGTGTGGCTAATTTGGAGTTTATACTTCTAAAAGCTGAATGGTATAGTGCTTTAGAACCTGGGTTCAGGGGCGCCTGGGTGGCGCAGTCGGTTAAGCGTCCGACTTCAGCCAGGTCACGATCTCGCGGTCCGTGAGTTCGAGCCCCGCGTCGGGCTCTGGGCTGATGGCTCGGAGCCTGGAGCCTGTTTCCGATTCTGTGTCTCCCTCTCTCTCTGCCCCTCCCCCGTTCATGCTTTGTCTCTCTCTGTCCCAAAAATAAATAAAAAACGTTGAAAAAAAAAAATTTAAAAAAAAAAAAAAAAAAAGAACCTGGGTTCAAATTCTCGCTCTACCACATTGCTAGCTGTATGTTTTCAAATCCACGTCTAATTTGAATTCATAATATCTATGAGAAGGATTTTTAATCTCCTTTTTTTGAAATGAGGCCATAGTCTGAAATTGAGAAATGTGTTCAAGGTCACAAAGCTAGTAAGTAACAGTTTATCTATGTTTCTATATCTAATATATTTATCACTTATTAATTGAGAAGCAGTATGATGTGGTGGGTGAAAGCAAAATGTGGTGGAAGTCAATTGTTTAGGTCTGAAAACTTGTTCCAAAATCTGCTAGCTGTGTGACCTCAATCACATTACTTAATGTCTCCGTGCCTCAGTTTCCTTATCTGCTGAACAGAATAATACTGGTATCTCCTGGTAGTTACACTGAATATTAAATGAGTCAAAATATGTAAAGGGTTTAGAGTAGAAGTCACATAAGGTTTAAATCCTGGCTATAACACTTACCAACTGGATAACTTTGGGTTGGTTAATCTCTCTACACTATAGTTTCCTCATTTAAAAAAAAGGCGGGGGGGGGGGATTGGATAATAACAGTACCTACACCTCATAGATTTGTTGTGAGGATTAAATAAGAATAGTGCAGGGTGCTTAGCACAGTACCTGGCACATAGCAAAATTTCAAGAAATGCTGCTATTAGTCCTTTTCTTAATCTAAGGTATGTATGCAGGTAGACTTTAGAGGCACAAACAAAATTTTTGATAACAAAATTTTGTGGTACAACATTTTACATGTATGCATATAAGAGTTTTTTCTTAAGGAAGGGGATTCATGTTATCAGATATTCAAAGGAGTCTGTAACCCCAAATTAACTCAGAACTGCTGCTTTAAAGCCCAGAGATTACTGAAAATCAGAGGTCATTAAGTTAAAAAAAACAAGAGTTGAGTATTTTAGGAATAATCAGTTTATTTTTAAAAATTTTTTAAGTAATCCCTACACTATGTGTGGGGCTCAAACTCATGACCCCAACATCAAGAGTTGCATAACCTACAGATTGAGCCAGCCAGGTGCCCCAGGCAAAATGTGTAGTTACCTAGAATGTAAGGCATGAATCTGACTCAATAATATTATCTTACCTGGAAAATAAGAAATGAATTTGACTCAATAATAAATAAAAAAGGGAACGTATTGACTTGTTGCAAACACAACAAGTTCTTCCAAAGAATAGAAGTTGACAGATTTTCAAATAACAGGTGGCAGTAGGATAAAACAGAAGGGTCAAAATTAAGCAAAAGGATTATGATAGCCTCTTTGGGTTATGTTTCCCATTGTCTTCAAAAACACCTGGCACAAAAGAAAAATATGGAGAATGAAGGTAACTCATGGATGTAGTTATAGTTTAGAAGAAAAAAATTCACATGTCACCGTTAATTGTTCCTCCCTAGGGGAAAAAAAGAATAATGAATGATCCAAACAGCCGCATAACACAAGCCAATTTGCCTTGTCCCCATAGTATTGACAGACTGCGAAAATTAGGGGACAGGTGGCAAGCTCCTCCTTCCTATTCCACATAAGTGGGGAAAGGCTTAGGAACATTTAAAGAAACTTGGGACATCCAATGTGCAATTTTTCCCATCAAGGATTAGGGTTTAAACAAGGGAAGGAACCTAACCACTTTCTCATTTGTCTAGGATGTAAATAAGTATGTACGTGATTTTTAGCCCCAAGAACTCAGGTTCTGTTTCCCATCAATAAAGATGCTCTGTGAAACCAAAAAAAAAGGAGGTAGGAATGAAACTGATATTTACTAAGTGCCTACTATGTACCAGACCCTTTATTTTAGTGTTCTTATTTAATCCTTCACAATAATCTTGTGTTACATAGAGATTACCATCCCCCATTTACAGATGAGGAAATTGAGGCTTAGAGAATTAATTAACTTGATCAAGGTCACCCACCTACCAAGTGGTAGAGCTAGGATATGGAACCAGATTTTCCCAATTGGAAAGTTTGTGTTTTTTTCCTATTCCAACCTATCTTTCCAACGTATGAGAAGCAGTTAAAAAAACATTTTGTGAAACGATTTCTATACCTGGTATTCATCTGGGGCCCTGTAAGAGGATATCTAGGCTCCATGATAGTTGGTGAATGATGTATTCAATATCAAATGCTCAGTATCCTAAAGAAGTAAAGAGAATGTTGCTAATGAGTGACAAAAAAAAAAAAAAAAAAAAAAAAAAAAAAAAAAAAAAAAAAAAAGAAATACGATTTAACCACATATTAACAGAAGTGTACGCAAAATTAGGTAACTTATATTAAGTACTTTCATCTATAGAATAGTAAGATAAAATGCTCATGGATTCTGAACATTTTCATACTTCATAGTCATTTTGCCTATACATTAATATTAACATTTATTCTAGGCAGCAATACCTACCAATGTATCTATTCATTAAGGAAAGCACAGATTCTGGGTTGCCTGGGTGGCTCAGTCAGTTAAGTGCCCAACTTCAGCTCAGGTCATGATCTCAAGGTCTGTGAGTTCGAGCCCTGCATCAGGCTCTCTGCTGTCAGTGCAGAGCCTGCTTCAGATCCTCTGTCCCCTCAGCACCCCCCCACCCCGCCCCTTGCCCACTCACATTCTCTCAATGATACATAAACATTGTAAAAAAATAAAGAAAAGCACAGATTCTTAAAAAAAAAAAAAAGAAGAAGAAAAAAGAATGAAAGAAAAGCACAGATTCTGTTCACAAGATCCTCATAACCATTTAGTAAGCTAGGTATAGTAGGGCAGGCAATACTTAATACATGAAATTTTGACCAAAAGTGTCATAATATTCAGAAAACCACAAAACAGGACACAGGAACAACTTGAACTAGATATTTACTGGATCTGTAATGAGGTTAACAAATGTTAAATCTCATGGAGATGGAAGACAAATATTACATCCCCACAAACTGACTTGTTCCCGTGAAAAATCAGTGGTCTTTGTTTGGCTGCACATGCCCTCTCTGGGTACTTCTTTTCCACTGCCATTGCTTCCACACCCACCTGTACATAGCAAACTTTCAGCTTCCATCTCTCTTCTAAGTTTCAAAACCGTATTTCTAATTGCCCGCTGGGTATCTTCATTTAAATATTATCAAAGCAAAATACAGGGCTAGTCCTTTCTTTACAGTTCAGTATTTCCTATACTCTTTTATTAGGTCTTAGAGTTCTTTAGGCTCTGTACATTTCACTTCAATTTTAGCAAGAAGGAATCGTCTGAAGCAAGATAAGAGAGGAGAGTTATAAATGCAGGTGCAGAAGAGATTTTTCAGACAAAGCCAGAGGCTGAAATTATTTACTATAATAAAATCTTATTCAAAGTGCTCTTGTAAGGTTGATAAAAAGTCTCTCTTGGAGACATCTGGACTTCATGTGTCTTCTATAGAATGAAGGCTTAGGTCACGATCTCGCGGTCCGTGAGTTCGAGCCCCGCGTCAGGCTCTGGGCTGATGGCTCGAGCCTGGAGCCTGTTTCCGATTCTGTGTCTCCCTCTCTCTCTGCTCCTCCCCCGTTCATGCTCTGTCTCTCTCTGTCCCAAAAATAAATAAAAACGTGAAAAAAAAATATTTAAAATAAAAAAAAAGAATGAAGGCTTTAAACTTGAAAGCCCTTCTACACCACCTGGTTGTTACGGATAACAGTATTCAGATTGATAACTAACTGTAGGAAATATATAAAGTGCCATCTTTTTTCAATGAACAAGAATCTTAAACTTGTCTCTTCTTCCTTTATGTATTAGGATAAAAAAATAATGTTGACCTATTTCTCATATTAAAACAATACATGAGTTTAGTTTTACAGTATCACGTAAGCAGTGAAAGCTAGTGAAACTGAAACCACACAACACCTATACCTAGCAAAATATATTCCCCTCGGATAATGGCATGAATCACGGTTTATCAAAATGGAAACCCTGAAGTCATCCTTACCTCTTCTTCCTCCCTCTTTCCCATATAAATTCTGCCTTTCCATCTCTACCACGGTAGTTCCTGACTACATCAACTCTCACCAGATTTACTGAAAAGTCCCCACAGTGCTCCTAGAAGGGTATTTATGCATATCTGACCAAATTACTGCCCCTGCTTTAAAAGCTGATGGCTCTTGTTTAAATACAGAACAAAACACCTCCACGATCTGGCCCCACTCTATTATTCCAACCTTATCCCTCATCCACTCATCCTACATTCCAATCAAATTGAACTACTTACAATCCCCCGAGTTTGGGTGTCTTTTGCACAGGCTGTCCCTTTAACTTTAAACGTCTTGGTAAATCCCCCTCATCCTTCACAATCCAAATCGAATGTCACTTCCTCTGGAAAACCATCTCCTAAACACCGCCTGTGTTCACACATATAGCATTTTCACACTTTATTGTTCACACATTACTCCCAGTAGACCGCGAACTGCAAACACTAACTGATCCCTTACCAAGAAGCCATCTGAATTAGATGAGAAACACAGGAACGAACATGCAGGGCTTCAGTCCACAAATTTTCATAGTAAAAACACCTTTAAATGGCACGTTATCGACTGCAAACCTCTTTCACATACCTAAGGACAAACGATTCATAGGAAATTTACGGTCCGCTTAGTTTATTTCTTCCCCTAATTCCCCTTCACGTCATCAGCCCCAGGCTCCAGGAGCACTGAGAAGCCACCACAAGGCCCTGAATGTAGCCCACCGTCCTTCTCCGTGCTCCGCTGCCGCCCTTCGGGAGATTCCGCGACACAACGCCCCACTCACCGCCACCGCCGCCCAGCGGGGTCTGTTTGTTGCGCCCGAACAGAGGTCGGCTCCAAGGAGCGCCGCTGCCGCTTCCGCCCCGCCTCTAGGACGTTGGGGTCGCGGGAACCAAGGCGGCAAACACAAGCTCGGCAAACCGAAGTCCGCGCCGCGCCTACTGACTGGTCAGAAACCCAACCCTTCAGGGACAGGGGCGGGGCTAGAGGCAACGCGCACGGTCGCCGAGGCGTGCTAGTACGCTAACCAATCAGCTCTCTGCGCCGTTCGGCTGCTTGACCAATCCCAAGCCTCACTGGAGAAATAGGGGCGCCATCGGCTCTCCACGATCAGGATCCGGAGGATTTAAACACTTCATTTTGGTCAACGGTTAAGTTCCGGGCAGGGGGACATTGCGCAGGCGCAATGAAGAACTTAACCCGATGTAGTGAGGGTGGCAGAGGAAGCCGGAAGTGCTTGTTGTGCTGATTGTTTGTGGGAGGTTAGAAGCGAATCAAACCGTTTGCTTGAAGGAACAAAAGAGAGGAGTTAGATTTCTTTTAGTTTCTTTCCTCTTTTTTTTTTAAATGTTTATTTTATTTGGAGAGAGCGTGCTTGCGAGTGGGGGAGGAGGGTAAAGAGACAGGGAGAGAGAGTCCCAAGCAGGCTCTGCACTGTTAGCACGGAGCCCGGGCTCCATCTCCTGAATCGTGAGATCGTGACCTGAGCCGAAGTCAAGAGTCAGATGCTCAAATGACTGAGCCACCTAGGCGCCCCTCTAGTTTCTTTCCTAAGAAGAATCCTCTCTGAATAACAACAAAAATTTTCTTTTAAATGTCTTACCGTTGAGGGGCTCCTGGATGGCTCAGTTGATTGAGTGTCCAATTCTTGATTTCGGCTCAGGTCATGATCTCAGATACTGAGGTGGAACCCCTTGTCGGGCTCTGCCCTGAGTGTGGAGCCTGCTTAAGGTTCTCTCCCTCCCTCTCCCTCTGTTTCTCCCTCAAACATGTGCCTGTGCCTATCGTCACCCCTCTCCCCCCCACCCCGCCAATAAATAAATTCCTTGCTATTGAGGAAAAAAATAACGTGACTTAAATTTATAAACCATTTATATTTAGTGTCTACAACTAATGTTGGTAATTGGGCCTTTTCTGTCATTTTTTATATGGTTGTCCTGCAACAACCGAAGTAGGTATTAGTATCCCTATTCAACAAAGGAAGAAATGTAAAAGATGACACAGCTAATTAGTGCAGAGTCAGGATTCCAAATGCCACTTAACTTTCTTCTACATTCCATTTCTGTTAGTTTCCTGAGCAATATGGGAGCGTCAAAGTCGAGATGTGTTTGTAAGCTGTATTGTTCTGAAGGAGCTCACCCTTTTGAGGGAGTGAAGACACTCTCCTGAAAAATGTATCACACTAGCCAAGAAATAGATGCTATATAGAATGTCATTCTCTGCTTTCCTGGAAAAATTCCTAGAATCTAAGGCATACATTTTAAGAGAAACGATGGTGAGTTCCTCAGTGTGAGAGTAGGAAGAGCCAGTGATGCATGTCTGACAAAGTGTTGGCAAACCCAATAGGGAACTTTGGAGCAAAGATTGTCCATTAGAGGAGACCCACATTAGGCATAAATGGCTACAATCCTTGCTGCGTTCAGTCATTGCCTGGGCCTTCCCAGAGAAAGCAAGCACCAAGGCAGATTCAGAAGGGCACAGCAAGAGGCTGATAGCTAAGTGTATACTCTGCATGTGATTGGCATGCTCTTTCTGGAGAGAAATCCAAGTGACACGCCTTGATGGCTGTCATGAGTTATGTTAAGTGCAAAGTCCCTGGGGTGGGATCTTCCTGGCATCTTTCAAGGAAGGCCAAGTAGGCTAGTATGTCCTTAGCAAAGTGACTGAGGAGAAGAATATTAAGGGTTGAAGGGGGAGACGATGTTGGTAAACCACACAGGGCCTTAGAGGCCATGATAAGGATTTGGCTGCACTTTTGAGTTAGATAGGAAGCCTCTGGAGTATTTTGTTTTATTTTTTAAAGTTTATTTATTTTGAGAAAGAAAAGGGGGAGGGGCAGAGAGAGGGCAAGAGAGAATCCCAAGCAGGCTCAGCAGTGTCAGCACAGAACCTGACGCAGGGCTCGATCCCATGAACCATGAGATCATGACCTGAGCCTAGATCAAGAGTTGGGCACTTAACTGACTGAACCACCCAGGTACCCCTACTGGAATATTTTAGAAAGGGGGCTGACATGATCTGATTTTAGGTTTTGGAAGGACTACTGTGGTTGCTACTTTGAGAATAAACTGTAGGGAGCAAGGGGAAGCAAGGAGACCAGTTAGAAAGCTGTTGGAACGACCAAGGG